GCGGGCTCTGGCAATCCACTCACCTCAGCCCCCCAAAGGCGTGAGATTACAGGCTGGCTGAGCCACCGAGCCGGCTGCCTCTCTTAGTTTAACTGGCTTCAAGAGATAGCAGCCGATTTCTTGGTTCACTGCAACATTCCCAATACACTTATCACAGTGTCTCCAAGCGCTTTTTTGTTTAATCAGATTAGGGTAGATCAATGAGAATTTACCCCTAGGATACCCTGTCCGCAGACGGCTCTGCTCACGAATTGTCCATGGCTTTCCTATGCTACTTCGGAATTCTTTCAAAACAGTGATTTATGCTATTCAAACACAGAAATGAAAAGTCGTTGCTGGGTGCGGTAGTTCACGCCTATAATCCCGGCATTTTTGGGAAGCAGAGGAGAGGGGATTGCCTGAGCTCGCGGGTTCGAGATCATCCTGGGCAACTTGGAGAGCCCTCATCTTTACAACAAATCAAAAAAAAAAATTAGCCGGGCATGGTGGTGTGTGCCTGGAGTTCCAGCTACTTGGAAGGTTGAGGCGGAGGGATCGCCTGAGCCCAGCAGGTACAGGCTGCGGTGGCCGGGAGCATGCCACTGCCCTCCAGCCTGGGTGACAGAGTGAGACCCCAACTCAAAGAAAAAAAAAGAAAAGTCTGGGGAGTACATTTCAGATGCTCTGCCAAAGAACGCTGGAGGCAAAAAAAAAAAAAAAAAATTGAACGATCACTTAGGGAGGTGACAGGAGGTGACATCGTTAGAACCTGAGCACCCATCAGATCACCTACATTTTGCTTAGGTTTCAGGTGCGCTTCCTTAAAAGGCTCACAGGGGGTTACACGACTACCTGTCATCCTCACTTCTCGATTCTTTGAACCTTGGGTTCCACGGTTGCCCCGCCCCGCCTCCTCGAGGGCCACTCGCCCCGTTGCCTCCCCGCGGCGCAGTGCACGCCGGGAGTCGTAGTCCCAGTCGGCGGGGCCGGAAGGGCGAGAGGGCATGGAGACCTCCTCGCCCCTGCGGCTTCTGGAGGTCACGTCCCCGAGTGATCCCTTTCCCTCTGTCGGGTGGAGCCTTCAGCGAGCACGGCTGGGTGTGACTTTGCCGCCGTCTCTCTTGCGAGTCCGACTAAAGTTGCCCTCTCCCTCCCGCGTACGGAGCGCAAGATGGCGGCCTGCCGGGCGCTCTGGGCTGCGCTGCGCTCCCTGGCGTCCGGCCGGCTGAGAGGCAGCGGCGTGGGCTGCGGGGCCCGAGCCGCCGCTCGCGCTCCTCTGGCCACCGCCCCCGGGAAGCCCCTTTGGAAAGGTCAGTGACTGTGCCCTGGGCGGGCCGAGCCGACCCTGCGTGTGGCCGGAGGAGTCTCCGGGGTCACCCGCTCGGATTCCCCGGGTGCCTCCGGCTCTGTCGGGTCCCGGAGCGGAGTGTCGGTTCCTCTCGCCCCTGTGTGCAGGCTGTCCCCGAAGGAGCCCCGAGCGCGGAGGGAGCTGGCCCCGCGCGACTTGCCTTTCGAGGGCCCGAGGTCCGCCCGAGCCTGTTCCCCCTCCGGCGCTACCGAGCTGAGGCCTGAGCGGCTCCGGCGCGGGGGTCCTGGCAGAAGGACGCAGGTGTGCGCTGGGGCCGGGGACCCTCGCCTCGGGCTCCGGGCTGGTGACAGCCGGGGCTCGGGGCTAAGGTCAGGCTTCGGGCCCCTGCAGGCCCCGCTGGCTCTCGGGATCCTGGGAAGGAGGGTCTCCAAGCCTTCCCGGACGGGGGGGTCCATTCCTGGTGCTCCGCTTAAAGTGACTGGAGGCTTCAGTGGGGGGCATTTTTTCACCTGGCTACCTCTCTCCCTTCCTCCCCCCCCCCGCTGGTTATGCAAAGTCCAGGACGTCGTGTCATGGTACTTAGCACAATTATTAGTACCTCATAGGTAGATATGATTTCTTATTTTTTTTTTTTTTTTTATGAGTTGGAGTCTCATTCTGTTGCCCAGGCTGGAGTGCTGGAGTGCAGTGTCATGCTCATGGCCACCGCAGCCTCGACCTACTGGGCTCAGGTGATCCTTCCTCTCAACCTTTCAAGTAGTTGAAACTATAGGCATGCGCCACCACGCCCTGCTCATTTAAAAAAAAATTTCCGGTAGAGATGAGGTCTCCCCAAATTGCCTGGGCTGGTCTTGAACCTCTGAGCTCAGGCAGTCCTCTTACCTCGGCCTCCCAAAGTGCTGGGATTATAGGCGTGAGCCACCGCGCCCGGCGATATGATTTTTGAATGAATGAATTTATTCTCATTGTCGTCCCCATCCACACATTTACGTTTTCCTTTTTCTCATCTCCAAGCAAACCGTTATATACCTTAATTCTTTGATACACTTTAGTAAAGCATAGGTCTCAATAACTTGATTCTCGTTGACTAGTTATCACTTTTTAAAATTTAAGAATTTTTTTTTTCTCCTGTTTCCCTGACTGGAGTGAAGTGGCATGATCGTAGCTCACTGCCACCTCGAATTCGAAGTAGCTGGGACTACAGGCATGTGCCGCTACACAAGGCCAATTACATTTTTTTTTTTTTTTTGTAGATATGAAGGTCTTGTTGCCCAGGCTGATCCTTGCCTCTAGTGATCTTCCCCCCTTGGCCTCTCAAAGTGCTGAGATTGCCACAGTGCCGTGCTGGTCGACTAATTTCACTATACATATAATTGAAATTTCAATGTAGTTGAAATTAATAGTAGAACTATGATTAGGCCCCCTTAGGTTTTTCTGCAAAGATCAGTCAGCATCATGCACTTAATATGTACTGGAATATTTTTGTAGTATAAGCTGGAGTACAGTGTACAATTTTATTTATTTATTTATTTATTTATTTATTTATTTATTTATTTTTTGAGCTGGAGTCTCACTCTGTCGCCCAGACTGGAGTGCAGTGGCCGCTCCCGGCCACCGCAGCCTCTACCTGCTGGGCTCTGGCGATCCTTCTGCCTCAGCCTTCCAAGTAGCTGCAACTACAGGCAGATGCTACCATGCCCGGCTAATTTTTTGATTTATTGTTGAGATGAGGTCCCGCCAAGTTGCCCAGACGGGTCTCGAGCCCGCGAGCTCAGGCAATCCACTCACCTCAGCCTCCCACAGCACGGGATTACAGGCTGAGGCACTGAGCCTGACTATTTTTTATTTATTTATTTTGTTTGGAGTCTCATTCTGTCACCCAGGCTAGAGGGCAGTGGCATGCTCCCAGCCACTGCAGCCTTGACCTGCTGAACTCAGGCAATCCTTCCGCCTCAGCCCTCCAAGTAACTAGAACTACAGTCATGTGCCACCATGCCCAGCTATTTTTTTTTTTTGGATTTATTGTAGGGTTGAGGTCTCACCAAGTTGCCCGGACTAGTCTCAAACCTGCAGGCTCAGTCAATCCTCTCACCTCAGCCTCCCAAAGTGCTGGGATTATAGGTGTGAGCCAACATGCCCGGCCTATTTTTTATTTTTTGAATAGTTCATAAAAGGTAACGGTACAAACTTCAAAAGGTATAAGAAGAAATATGACCAAATGTAAGACTCTTTTCTGTCTCTACCACTTAGCTGCTTAGTTTTCTTCCTCAGAGGTAACCTCTAATACTTGTTTCTTATGTATTCTTCCGAACACGTTATGTGTGTGTACAGGCATATACTGGGGTGCCAAAATAATGTGTATACATTTTAAGTGATGTTAAGAGATATTTGCCATAATAAAGTGTCTGCATGCTGATGGTAACCACTTTGAGCACCTCTTGTAATTGCAGAAGTCAAATATGACTTGTATTCATCTTTTGTTATTGGTATGTATTGAGTATTACAATTTTAATAGTTTTTTCTTTTTTAAGATGTATGTACATATTTTTGGCACCCTCTGTATGTATGGGAAGATCTGTTTTTATTATCTAAAAATTATTAAGATGTATTAATTATTAAAATTTTTACATAATAAAATTATTTTAAAAAATAGAAGTAGTGGCCAGGGACAGTGGCTCACACCTATAATCCCAGCACTTTGGGAGGCTGAGGTGAGAGGATTGCCTGAGCCCAGGGGTTTGAGACCATCCTGGACAACTTGATGAGACTCGTCTCTACAATAAATCAAAAAATTATCCAGGCATGGTGGCACTCCACTCACCTCAGCCTCCCACAGCATGGGATTACAGGCTGAGGCACTGAGCCTGACTATTTTTTATAGTTGAATGCTTAAAGTTGAACGCTTAAAGTTGAATGCTTTTAAACCTAACATCTGACTTTTTCAACCTTGGACCCATGATCACAAAATGAGGATAATGAGGATTAAATAAGATAATGTATGCAGAAAGCATTTAACATAATGCATGACACAAAATAAGCATTCAGTAAATCGTACATGCTATTATAATGATGCTCTTTTAATCTTAAATTAAGTTTCATAAATTATGGCACATACATAGAATGAAATGCTAATTTTAAAATTTTAAACATGAGGTAGTTCTACTGATATGGATTCGATATAATATTGATATGGAATGATCTCCAAGATATAATAAATTTTTTAAAAAGCCGGGCTCGGTGGCTCAGCCTGTAATCCCACGCCTTGGGAGGCTGAGGTGAGT